TATATATATATAATTTTACTTTTGTAATTAAACGATAAACGGCTGCTATTTATTTTCCGGCATTTTCTTAATGATAACAAATGTATTTCATCATAACGAATTCTAATCTTTTTATTATTAATCAGAAGATACAGTTCTGTCTTGAGCTAATAAGCATATTTGATAAATTGATTTTTATGATTATAAGGAAGATATCGTTGTTATTCAATCTATTTTTTTATCTTTTCCCGCCTCGAGATTCTAGTCTTTAAAAATATACAGTGTCAATGACACGAGTATGCGTTTCAAAACAAGAAAGTTGTTATTTAACTGATCGATTGTGCGCTTTAGAACAACAAAATGTTATCTAAAGAATTCCAAATAAAGTTAGTTCTATCCATCCAAAATACGAGAATTTTTTTCCCTTCCAGAAATTAATTTTCAAGTTAATTGTATTGGATAATTCCATCCACAATTTCTTTTCTTTCCCCAATTTCAGCGATCGCCATTTAAGGATGCGAAAGCGATGTCGTGTTTCACGCTGGAGACGTCGAAAATAAAACGCGACGCGATGCAAATTGCGTGCAACTTTGTTGAAATTCTGCCAAGTCGAACCGAGCTTCAACGCGAAGCGTGTGGGATCTGTTCTATTGATATCCGAAGATGCGTTTGTTTCAATATTGCTCGCCCGTAACATTCAGGAGAATGTTTCCTGAATGTTCAGGAGAGCGCAATACGTTCTCATTGACGTGTAGCTTTGGATCGAAATGGCGATAATTCATTATTTATTTTGATTTGTTTATCGCCAAAGTCGTTCGCGCCATTATAGAGATCCATCAGGTAATCCACTTGCTTTATCAATGAAGATATGGATCTATCGAATAGGCGGTGCTCGATAATGCATCTAGATAGAATTGTTATGTATACAATCGAAACTCTCAAATATAAACGTATTTGATCGTAATATATTTATAAAATGAGAACATCCACGTAAGTTACTGATATATATAAGGTATATATAATGAAGCGCGCACAATAATAAAATAACACTCTCACGCAACACGTGGCAGACAAAAGGTATGCTATTTTCCCTTTTTTTTTGTTCTTTCCTTGCATTACGCGAGAACATTGATTGCGTGTAAAGACAATTGCCCCTCTCACGTCGCAAGAAGTCTGTACTATCCGCACGCTCGCGTGCACCGTTTAATTCACTGCAGATACAGATTTCTATTGTTTGCGATTAGAAGACGCACCGTCTTTCTAAGAGGCGTTATAAGAGTCTCATCAAACATCCTTTCGTATATCCTAAAAAATTTTTAAAGAAGCTAAGATGTATCTCTGGAATTGGGTTCATCCTCGTCATTTGAATTTTTTCGATTTCTCCTTCGGAAACGTTATAAACGGTATCGAGAGGGGGGAGAGAAGGGCAGAGGAAGAGGGGATCGAGATGCAAATTGCGAGCGCGATGCTGTGGTATCGGTCGACAATTCCGCGAGACGAGTGGAGCGTGGATGTAGATCGTGCCAGGGTTACGATAGCTTAGAATGCAAGAGTCGATGGGAATATTTCATCGACCTCGACCCACCGCTCAGACACATCTGTAATATCATCCACCGATTAGGACGCGACGCTAATTCGGTATCATTATGATCAACAATTTTTTTTTCTCTTCTATTTTTCTCTGTTTTTTCCGTTTGAGATAGAGAGCAGAATTAGCTTGGCGGAGAGAGACGCGAGCGTGCAAGAAATCAAACTCTCCATTCTGTAGTGAAGGAAGGAGGGGGAAATTAGAAGGCGAGAAGCTGTGCTCTTTTATGTCTTTCTTTGTAAAGAAATGCGAGAGAGGTGGATGTATAATACACGATCATTTATATCCGATCAAGATAGAACTATTTAATTTATGACGTTTAAAAGAGAGATGAGCTATTTGCTATTTAAATGTGGAATATTTTTGTATTTACTGTATAAAATAATTATCTGTGATGTAATACGATTCCATTCAATTACGATCGCTCCGATACGAGAAGAAAGAAAAGCTTCAGTACTTTCATGCTTCATTATATCTCGTTATTACAATAAAATAAAATATTAATATCAATATCGAATTATCAATAGCGAACAAATTTAGAAACGATAGTTAAATGCATAAAAATTTTTCGTTTGACAATCTACAAATTTCGAGAGATTTATAAATTTTCGAGACAATTCGAACTTGAGTGATAAAGAAAAGATATTGCAAGTCCAATATGTGCTTTTCTGATTTCTCTGATAAACTCCATGCTAATTTCGTATAGCGTCCCAGAAAATCAAAGAACGTAAATATTTAATTATTTCTTAATTATCTCCGGTATCTTGCGCATTTTTTTTATCGCCGACAGCGATTGTGCTTAGAGTAACCAGTTCCGGTACGACTCTCGAATCTTTAATAACGCGCAATCTACGTTTCGAGCTAAAACCACAATCTATTATATATTGCCATAACTCGTAACAAACCGTTCTTGTATTACTCCGGTAACCCACACTCGACGTTCAACGATCAAGTGCGCGAAAGATTACGATCGCGCGATCAAAATTTCCGCCCGCGATATAGAAATGCTACTGAAGTATGCGATGACAGCCGTGCGAATCTTTTCTTTTCATCGAGACATCCCCATATTCGCTCTCTTTCTTCTTTTGACTCTTCTTTTCTTTTTTTCCACCGCGTGGAATGACGACGAGGAATTGCGAACCGGTTTGCATCTATTTGGCTACTTTCTCGCGTCGTGGCGTGCCGCCCGCACTATATATGCGGAAACAATTTGATACACGTTAGTTCATGTAGTAATACACAATAATAATAATATGATATACTAATATTGCGTTAAAAGAATGAAAAAAAGAAAGAAAGCAAGAGTATATAAAATTAGTATTAGAACAACGATACTAAATCTTCATAGAGCGATAGCAATAACATTCTGTCAGGATAAAGTGATTGAAATGTAGACTTAAAAGAAACTAAGTGACTTTTGAGGTATCCTGTACGTCAGCACGATTGCGAGTTCACCACGTCTCTCCCACTCGCAATATTACTATTGCCTGTCGTCGTCTTTCTCCCTCCGATCTTTCTCCTCGCTGTTTTCTCGCTTTGTCTCCTCTCGCTCTCTTAACGCGCCGTCCACGTCACCGCCCTTCCACAAACCACGATGCTTTCATTTTTATCGGTGACGAGCGAGGCTAGCGTCGATCAGATCTGTAGTATAAATTAAAGCGTCAACGAGAGTTCGGTATGAATAAGCGAGGACAATTAAGCCTACTTTTCCGTATAGTAGTCTCCTCGACATCTCTTTACAAACCTTGATTTCCGACAATGCTTGCATACGCTTAGATGTGGAACCTTGAAGCATCGATTTGAAATACGAAGGACGCATAATATTATTGTTTAGCATCTTTCAGTAACCTTCGGAAAAACGCCTGACACTTGGCGCAGTCTTGGCACTCGTAGTTCTCTCATGTTTATTAGCTACGCTCTTGTCGAGACGGCGCGATTCTAAAGTAAATTTGAAATTGTAATCAACTGGTCTAAAGAAAAGAAATAAAATAGGTGCCCCAGAAGGTAAATAATTCTTCATATTATGCCCTGAAATTATAGAAAAGTAGGACATGTAATGTAACAAATATTTTCATTCGTCGTTTTTCTTATTTAAACATAATTAATATTTAAATTTGTCATCCATAAGCGCACAATAGAGTTCATAGTAACTCATAAGAAAGTTATAGCGATTTAAAAAGAAAGAATAATTTATAGATCATATAAGATTTACTAAAAATAGATTGGAAGCATTTGCATTAACTAAAACAGTACCGTTTAAAAATATAATAAAAAATATCAAGATAATATATCGATTAAAATTTAAAACTGTTTTTTCATTTAATTCTGATAACTAATAAAATCAACGAGACAAAGATCTAGAGGAAGCTTGAAATTCTAAGAAAATTTGCAAAAAATTTTCTATTTCGAGGTGTGAATATTCCAGTCTTTAAAAAAAAAAAAGAAAAGAAAAGGAAGGGAAAAGAAAGAGATCGCGAGATTTCGGGGATTTCACAAGACATTTCCGGAGCAGAAGTGATCTAACCTGTCGCGCGCGCGTTCCCTAACCTCTACACGGCACGGCGTGACACGACGGACGACGGCACATCCGCTCGGATAGGGAAACTCGAGGCGATTATGCCCGCATAACGCGAACGGGCCGGTCTACGTACAACGTTGTTTGTCGACAGACGCGCGGATCGGCGGAGGCAGGCGCGGCACGACGCGAGTCAGCGACGGTGATCGCGCGTAAAAATGAAATGGGGCATTGGGTGAAAGTATTCGCGGCAGCGGCGGCGACGGCAGCGGCAACGGCTAGCGAGCGTGCGAGCGAGCCTACCTCTTATATCAGATCAGTACGGTAGGCGCGCCTCGTCACAACACGCGTCTACCTCGCGTCGTTTCTCTTCACCAGCGGGTTCTCCTGATGACCTCTCCGTCGACCGTCTTGTCACGGGAATCCTGTTCCGCTTCGCGTCCCCGGACTATGCCGACCTGGTAGCCTCGTCATTATCCTACTCACTAACCGAGAGCAGCTTTATTATCTTTCTACAGAATGCTGCGCAACCTGTGGTCCCTTTGTCTTCTCTTATCGCTGGTCACTCTAGCTCCAGCGTTGGAAAATGGACTGGCCAGAACACCTCCGATGGGATGGTTAGCGTGGGAAAGATTTAGGTGCAACACAGATTGCAAGAATGATCCAGACAATTGTATAAGGTGAGCTCCATAGCAGTGACGATATGTGGATAGAATATTTAATGTAAGCGCAAAAGAAATTATAGTGATTGATCTCATCTGATTTATAGTGACCGTCTCTTCCGGACCATGACAGATATTGTGGTGGCAGAAGGGTATGCTGCAGTAGGATATGAATACATTAATGTGGACGATTGTTGGTTGGAGAAAGAAAGGGATTTAAATGGACAACTTGTACCAGATAGAGAACGATTCCCATATGGCATGAAGAGTTTATCAGATTATGTAATTCACTGTCTATCATTTTAGAAATGTCTTTTCTTTGTTTCAATGTTTGTCTGTTGCACAAATTCGTTATTCTGCACTTGGCTTACTTCCCAGGCTTATAATGCTCTTTTGTGACTGTACGTGATGCTTTATGAAAGACATTGCTCTGTTTGTTAGGTGCATTCAAAGGGTCTCAAGTTTGGTATCTATGAGGACTATGGTAACTATACTTGTGCTGGATATCCAGGTATATTGGGTTACTTGGATATAGATGCTGCCACATTTGCTTCCTGGGATGTGGATTATGTAAAGTTAGATGGATGTTACTCACATCCTGTTGATATGGATAGAGGTATAATTATAAATGATCTGTGTAAATTCTTTCTTAATTTAATTAATATTAAAATAATATGGTATTTACTGAAGGCTATCCCGAGTTTGGGTATCTCCTAAATCAGACTGGAAAACACATGATATATTCATGCAGTTGGCCTGTTTATCAAATCTATGCAGGTATGAAGGTAAGCATCTCAATACATTTTCTCCGATTTATTTCTTCTAGAGGCAGTCATTGATGTTAATATAATTTTCAGCCGAATTACACCTCGATTGCAGAAAACTGCAATCTCTGGCGCAATTTCGACGATATCCAGGATTCATGGGCCAGTGTAGAGAGTATCATCGATTACTACGGTAACAATCAAGATGCGATTGTGTCCAATGCCGGTCCTGGACACTGGAATGATCCAGATATGTTGATTATCGGTAACTTTGGTTTGAGCTACGAACAGAGCAAAACACAAATGGCGATTTGGGCTATACTAGCAGCACCATTGCTCATGTCTGTTGATCTCAGGACGATTAGGCCAGAGTACAAAGCCATCCTGCAAAACAAAAAGATTATTGCCGTAGATCAAGATCCATTGGGCATTCAAGGTCGACGGATATATAAAGTGAGTGATTTAAATGTGTCAGTGCCTTGAATATATCGGTGTGATTGATTGATATTATCACGAATTGAAATTCGAAATTAACAAGTCATATAATTCAGTTATATTAGTGACAGTTTCGGCTGAATTCATCAGAATGTGTCTTAGACAGTGTGATCCATTGATAATTTACAATTACAGCACAAAGGCATTGAAATTTGGGCAAGGCCCATCACTCCTGTTTATCAAAACTACTATTCGTACGCGATCGCGTTCATCAACAGACGAACGGACGGCACGCCGTCGGATGTGTCGGTTACGCTGAAGGAGTTAGGTCTACAGTATCCTGCAGGATATCGAGTGGAGGTTCGTTGCCGTTACATGTAACAGTTTGATTGGCAGAAATGTCTAGAAAAAGAATTCGAAAGTATCGTTGTTCTTTTCAGGATTTGTACGAGGACGTGGATTATCACGTGCTGACGCCACAGACCAAGATCAAGGTCAAAGTGAACCCGTCAGGCGTAGTGATATTGCGATGTAATCTGAATATAGACGACGTGTTTCATTATTCACCGTATTCGTCCTTGAATCAAGTCTTTAAAGTTAGGCAAAATTCATTTGAATGATCGTACATTTAACGTATTATCTTAATTTCTATCGGCGTTTTTAACACGCGCGTACGTGCGAGTGCGTTACATTCTATATTAACATAATATATAATATAAGGAAGAATAGAAAATAAAGAATTTTATAAACTTTATTCACTCGTGTTATTTAAAATGATATTCCGTATTTACGCTTTACTTTAGTATCATATCTATGTATATGGCGTTACTTTATATTTATCCTTGACTTTGTGAAATCCAGAGTTCTAGATAACTTGAACATACATATAGTTTGCATTTAATAATCGAGCTAATACTTTTTGTCGAATTAAAGTTTTATTTGTAAAAATTCTCGTTTAAATGTGACTTAAAACGATTAATATTGCATTTATATTAAAGAGATAAGTCGCTTCATCGTCGATGTAACAGACGCATCTCGTCATATGTACAAAAGCGCCAAACATATCTTTATATTCATCGCATCCAACTCCCTTTGACGTCTGTAACGCGTCACGAGGGGAGAGAGAGAGAGAGAGAGAGAGAGAGAGAGAGAGAGAGAGAGAGATGAGCAAGGATACTACAAATGTGCAATCGCGGAGACGATTCTCTATTATAAGTTCGCTATAGATATCGCAAGCCACACGTTTCTCGCGCATCTACCTACGCTCACCCATCCACCCGCAGTTGGCAGGAGAAACGTATCTCATTACACCCACTCTCTCTTCCGCCCTTTCCTCCCTCTTACGCTGGTAATGCGTCACAGCGACGCCCGCGTCGCGTCGCGTCGCGTCGCGTTGCCTCGCGCGTGCTCCCTTCAACCCCCAGCGGAACCGCAGCCATTGTCGGAGGGTCGGTCGGTCGGCTCGATTCTTCGCGAAACGCGCGTCCATGGTGTGCGCGTAACACACCCTTTCATCGTGCGAACACCCTGTGTGAAAACCAAACGAGCACGAACGTGCGAGCGAATTAAAAAGAAAAGAAAGAAAGAGAAGAAAAAAAACGGTGAAATTCAACGACGCGAGGGGATGTGAGAGGAATATCCGTTCGTCGGCGCGATGAGACGCGAACATTCGCGCGACGCCGATTTCGCGCGAGCAGCACCAGCACCAGCACCAGTACCAGCCGACGCTGCCACCGCTGCTGCCGCCGACCCCAACCCCGCCGCCGATTCCTCCGCTGACGCTACCACCGCGCTGCTGCACCCTCTTGCCGTCACAGCAGCGTATCTCACCGCGAGCATGAAGATTCCGCCTCTCTCATGACCCAGGTGAGTCTTTGAAAAAACATCATCTTTGACTGTAGAATCGTTTAGATAGATTAGATACGCCTAATGTTAATCCATGTTCTCATCATCGATGTGCCCGCGAAGTGATCGGTCTCGCGCGATCAGCGATATGGCGGCCGTTGCCGGTCCGAACGAATTTGCGTAGGAAGTCTCTCGCGAAGAAATTGATTTTGCCTATTCACGAGAATTCGCGATCATTCTGCGCGATAAGATTGATGCGGTCTTATCAGTATCAAGCACAAAGTGGTAAATGGTCGATAACTTGCGCTTGACGTTGGTTGCTTCAATCGCGGATTCTGACTCATTTCTATTTGAGTCCTCTGAACTTTAGATTCCTTAAGTATTCGAGAATCTCGAATTCGCTTGATTTGTATGTTAATGATCTTCAAATCGGCAAGATAACTCGAAATGATTATCAGTCATTGACATAGAGGCAACAACTCGCATGAATGAATAATGGCGCCACATTGAATCGTTTTGAACGGTGACGCGTTTGGTGCTGTATTACAGACGGAATTGCTAGTCCACGGTTATTCGCATCGATTACACACAATCACGAAATTCCATATCCAATTGTTTTTTTATCTTAGCGAATCTCATAGATTTTCTGAAACAGACGATGATGGACGTAAAATTTTGACATAAAATTATGAAACACTCGAAGATTCGACAATAATCTTCATTCAATTATTAGCTTCAATTAGTATATGTGATTAAACTTCGAATAGATTTGTTTAAGATTTGTTACACAGAATGACGTAGTTTAAATGAATTATACAATTTTTATTATGTAATTTGTTGTATTATTTGCACGCAACACGCATTTTTGACGAATTTTCATGTAACTGCCTTGCTCTCACAATTAATTCTGCCGCTGGTTTATCTGACATTACGAAACATAATGTCTTCTTTATTCTCCCTCGCCATTGTGTTCTCATTGAAATAACTCTGATCTAATCTCATTATACACGTATTAGATACGTGAGATAACGATGCTGCGCCTCACACGCTCAATTAGCACATAACTGGAATTGAAACTAAAAGGAGATGAATATGCATAGATGACGTGGTGATTCCAAGTGTCACTGTACAAATCGGTAGAGGTACTCTCTATTTATCATATTTCGTATGTAGGGCGGCGCAGATAAATCGATACGCGGCACTTTCATTCATGGCTGCCTCTCTCACGGTTGGCACATTGCCGTTGCTCTACGTACCACCCACGCTGTCGAGACCAACACATTTACGACCCAGCCGTTACGTAGTGTATAGTCTAACGGTGGTGGCACACAGTGGTTCTCCGTTTCGTCAGGGGGTGGCGAATGTTCGTCGTGTGCAATCTCACGTTGCGGCAATCTTGATGTTCGTGATATTAAATTACATCGACTGATAGATCGCTTTACCCAAATTGAACATCCAAGCAGCAAAAATCTGTAATTTGGAAAAAAGAAGATTGATGATGTCGAAATGATTCTCGTTTTTTATTTATTTATAATTATTTTTTTCTTTTAGTTAAGCAGTGGAAAATCTAATTAAATAAATCTGCAATCCACGCTCGATGCGATCGGCCCTTAGTCCTTGAACGGACAGGCGACGTTTCGTGACGTAAGCAGTCGCGTGGGATGCATTTCACATTCTATTTATAAATCGTTGTCATTAGTAGTATGTAGACGTGTCTCTCTCTCTCTCTCTCTCTCTCTCTCTCTCTCTCTCTCTCTCTCTCTCTCTCTCTCTTTTCTCGGGCGTATAATAGCCTAACAATACTTTAATCATTGAAATTGAATGAAAAATGAGAAGCAGTACAGACGTAGATTACATTTTGCACGTAACTTCTCTGTTTGAAGGATTTTATATTCTCTGAAGTCCAAAAGTGCAAACAGAGACGTTCTAACGTTGGTGCCGGTTCGAAAATCAAAGACCAAAGAGGAAGCTGATGCTTCTGGGTCTCTCTTGGGAATGAGAATTTTCTGCCATAGAATTTTTTACGAGTTAATAATTGCATCTCGTGCATCACCGCTGCACCGCTGTATTCTTCGGAAGTGAGCAACAGCGCGCACGTCGATATTACGTCGACGTTATATGTCCGCCCGTCCATCCGTCCATCCATCCATCCATCCATCCATCCATCCATCCATCCATCCATTCATTCGCCGACCATTCGTTTGCGTTGAGTGACGACAGTTGACATTAGTCGTCGCACACGAGGCATCTGATGGCATCCTTAAATTAGTTAAACTAGTGCATCGAGAGAGAGACTAACCCAGTTATACGAAAGGGGGATATCGAATAAATTCACCGCGCAGCCGCGTATCGGAAGCTTGCGAACTTCGACGCACACATGTTATCCGGCCCTTTCGTCGCTCGCTTGCACGCGACAGAGCAGAGACGAAGGGAACTGCGACGTACAAGGGAGGGAGTCGCAAGAGAATGGAGGTGGAGGAGGATGCGCTACTCTTTGAAGTCGGTCCACCTGCCTCCGGCATTCGCCACAGAACACAATGCGGGGGTGGCGGTGGCGCGTGTGGAGAGCAGCCCTTGCACCAGGCGGATTTTCCGCTCGGTAACGCTTGCCAAAGGATCTATTTAAAGGATCGGTTCGATCGTCTGTCTTCGGTTTCGCGACTTTTGATTTCCGAGCCCTCTTTGAAACGCCGCAGATCGGTGTTCCAGTGTTTTTAGTCACCGAACTCGCCTCACGAAGACTAAGTGTCTAATTTTCAAACGTGTTCTCCATGGAAAGGAGTGTTGTCGATCTTATGATGTTCCTGGATGTTTGCCAGCTTTATCTGCACACCAGAAAGAAATCCCGGAACCTCTGCACGCTCTGGGCGATCGTAACATTCATCCGCACGGAGGACACTGGCGGTTTTTTACGATGGTGTCGAGCGTATACGGTACCACGTTTGCGGTATCGCTCGGATCGCATCAAGAAAACGGACAATGCAGAGAAGTTGAGAGCCGACAAGCTGATACTCAGATTGCTGCAAGAATTATTCTATTGCGGATGCTTGCCGCCCTGCGAGATAGGTCTATGAGCAAAGGCGGGACGTGCTTGTTCACATATTACTGCATCAAGTAAACGTGCGTAAGGCAACGCAAAAGTCCCACGCGCTGTTCTGACAATTCTGCTGCAACAGGATGCAGTTCTAAATATCAACAAACTGTAACTTGTTAACCTTTTGATCCGCAGTTTGTAATTGAAGAATAAATCTTTAGCGTAAATACCTTGGTTTCTGTCAGATTTCTGCCATCCAATTAAATGTTTTTCTTTATTTTTGAGTACCTTCAATCTTGGGATCTCACTTTTCGATTGTTCGATTTAGAGAGACAAATATTTCTGTGCAGCATCGTAAGCGCACATGTGGACGTGGATAAATCACTTTAGCGAGAGGGATGTCTGAGAGCGACGGAGAGCATGCAGCTCGCTCGGTGGCCTTAGAGCAAGCCTACGTCCACGAAGTATACGAGCAATGCGCTGAGAAGACTACGCAAAGTAAACACTGGCCACGAGTATATCAATTTCTTCAAGAACTCGAACCGGGTGCCCTCGTCTGTGACATCGGTCAGTCAAAAGTGTATTTTACAAAAGACGTTTCTTTTTTTCTTTTCAAACATTTATTGATTTTCAAACATTCAAACTTTCATTGATTTGTTGCAAACATTTATCAATACATAATTTTAACCATACATTCATAATGGGTTACATAATAGAGTTTGCGTTCCACATGCTTTAATTTTACAACATTATATTATCTCTTTGTCCATGTAACATCATTATATTTACATGATCTAGGTTGCGGCAACGGAAAATATCTCAGCGTAAATCACAGTGTCTTCAAAATAGGGGTGGACAGATGCAAGCGTTTCACGGACATCGCGCGCGAGAAGGAAAACGAGGTGCGTGTTTATATCAATTATATCTCAAGTAAAGATTCTTATTTTTAAATTATTTCTATATTTTATCAATTCTATATTCTATATATTCTATTAGTATATATAGAATAATATATATTATTCTATATTTTTCTTTATACTTTGTGAAATGACTTAAACTAATTTCGAATTAATGCATGCGAATAGTTTACTGTTAAATATTTTATTCACGGAAACTTGTTTGTGTACGGTAAGGTTCTAATCTGCGATAATTTGGCTCTACCATTCCGAGAAGAAAGTTTCGATGCAGTGCTGTCGATCGCCGTGGTGCATCATTTCGCTACCACGGAGAGGAGGGTACATGCGTTGAAAGAATTAGCGCGAGTCCTTAGAATTGGAGGTCGACTCGTTATATCCGTCTGGGCTATGGAACAAAAGCATAGAAAAGTAAATAAAGATCTCTCCTCTCTTAATTAATATTTTAATTGATCTCTCTTAATTTCTTCTTTTAATAATATCGATATCTCAAATGTCTGGATTATAAATTATATCGTTGTTATATATATTGGCAGTTTGAATCGCAAGATGTTTTAATACCATGGCCCAAATCGCATTGCATGAGCACAGCGTCAGAGGGAACGAAGCATTCGAGTGTATCAGACAGTAACGAGAAGCGAGATGATGATGCTGCGCAGAAAAATCAGTCATCCTCCAAGAGGTGAGTTTTTGATGAATTATCTCACTGATGCGATGTTGAGATCAATCACACAACATATTTAGTTCTGTGATAGTATAATTTCTGTATTTCCTGTAAATATGATATCATATGTAGGTCATAGCTGTCATGATTTCTTGTTCCAGAAATAGCCAACGAAAATGTAAAAGCAAAAGTTATTGGATCGATCCGATATTCAGCTTGTCACCATCCACCAGTAGCCTCTCTAGCCCGAATGAGACCTGTTATAGCTGTTTCCGGCGAGCGTTACAGGTAACTAGATAAGTGAGTGAATAAGAAAGGGAGAGAAAGAGAATGATTATCTACAAATACGATATTTTAAAACTTGAGCATTTGACACACTAAAAATTTTTGATAATATTTAGAGATGTTCCCTATTATTGTTATCTCGTTTCACAATATTAGTTATCACAAACATTATTTAATTGAATGTCAATTAAATTTTTTCTATTTAATTATTATGATTTTAATTATTTTTCTATTTAATAATTATTTTGAAACTGTATTTATTTAACTGTATTTATGACGTGTTATTTAATTACTCTATTATTATTATTCATGATATTAGCAAGATTATTGTATGATTATGTTCAGAAATTAGCGAGGAGCAGACGCGGAGGAGACGGTCGTACATGGTTTCCTGGAAGTTGGCAGAGCAGTACCAAGAGCAGGCGACATTATGATCCCGAGGACACAACCGATGTGGACGAGTTGCCAATCGAGCTACGTCGCGTAGAAACCACACATACGCTAACGATGACGAACAAGCATTCCACGGACACACTAAGCATCAAATCCAAAAGTTTAGGTGATATTTTAGAAATTGAGAGACTTGATTTGGTGCGTTCACGGTCCAGCATCCCGGGTTTCTCTTCGACGTCCGAGTTGATCTTGGATGAGCGATCAGTCTCGTCATCATCGAGCGGCTCAAAGCCGCGGCTGGTGAAGCAGAAGTCATACGTAGAGGAGATTGGTTTGGAGAATCCCGAAGACACTGCCATTGAAAACCTGATAAAGAATCTCCCGGACTTCTCCTACCAATCGTTACGCAAGCGTAATATACCGTTAAAGCAGAGTTCGATGAATGAAGAATTGATGTCGGCGGAACGGCTGGAAGAGAAGGAACGAGTGCGACGAAATATCATGAAACAAGCGTCGCTGAACGAGGAGCTCATTTGCAAGTGGCGAACATTTGAGGCGCTCAAAGATTCGATCAGTCCGGTGAGCGCTAGTCGGCGCTTCCAATTGCTAAAGAACGGACTTACTAATAAACTCAAGCGTTCTACAACGAACATTGAGAAGGTCTCCAGCATGTCTATCAAGAATGGTTTTGTTCGTATGCTGCAGGGATGGAAATCCTGTGAGAACGAATCGGCGTCCGTCACGACAAAGCCGAAACCAACGGACAATAAAGTACAACCGGTAACAATGGTGAAACGTAGCATTGAGGGTGTCGAACGTCGTCTCTCACGCGAAGACGGTTCGGATTCGTCCAAGGACAGCAGTTTGCAGAGCGACACCAGCGTAGATTCCGAAGACAGCTTCGCATCTGTGATTTACGTGCCGAAGCAGGACGTCACGGCACCGCCGGCGTCGTCCTCGGTCAATGAGGTTCCTTCCGCACCGCGACCGGCGGCATTACAGCTCAGCACGACGTCGGCACCACCGTCGCCGCGTGTCAAGCAACCACTGGACGGTGGTCAATCATCTAGATTCAAAATGATCAGTGTGTCACCATTGCTGAAACAGCAATCGATTGTTACGAATACAAATGCAAATACGAATACGAATCTTGGCGATGCGATAAAATCTAGTGTGCCGACTGTTGTAGTCAAGGAAATGTTTGATAATACTTTACAGGCACCGGCGTCAGGAGAACTCCGTCTTATATCGGAACCGGACGAAGAGTCGGATACTACGTCTTTGATACATGCCTTTAACGATGTCACTAAGGTAGTCAATCGCGAGCCAATTGTGAGTGAAGACGACAGTCGAAAGGCCAGACTGAATCAGATCAAGGAACTACTGATAGCGAAGCCGGGCTTTGCGACACGCGCTAGACCGTCGTTTCCATTGGTGAGACGTGCTTCTACGGCGGCTTCGGGTCGTCTAGAGACAGTCACGAGAATCTTACCACGTCTGTTATCTCTAGAGTTGTTCAATCCAGAGACTGATGACTTGGATAGTGATTCCAGTGGCGTCTCGTCGCCGGAGTCAGTCGGCTCAGTGATCAGCGTCACATCGGATGAGCGATACATCGCGAGAAAGGAGGTTGAAGAAAAGAAAAACAATGTACAGACAGATGAGAGTCTTTCCAAATCAAATGGAGATGATATATCGAAGAGGAAAAAGGAAACGGAAAGTAATATACATGACGATGAGTCGTTGAGTATGATAACAACAGCGTCATTCGAAGATTCGAATACACCTCTGGATCCTTTGCATGACGACTCGTCCGCGGATCTCAAAGACGATATATTTCTTGCAGAGACCGAGATAACGCGCGACATTTCTCAAAATAATTTAGAGACTGACACGATCTGTTCCACGTCGCGTATTTTTTTGAAAAACGAAAAATCCATCTCCTCGCAGTCTATGAAGCTTTTGAAAGCCGCTGCTAACGTGGCGAGTTCATTGGAGGATGCTGTGGAGAAGGCAATTCAACACAAAGCCCAAGTAGAACAATTCTCGCAAGTTGCACAACGGCGAAATAACGACAGTATTTGGTCGCAATCGAGTGTGCGAACGCGAGCGTATTTGAAAGAGGATTATAAATCCACTTCAGAAGATTTGGGTGATTACGCTGACGAATCAAGTAGCGATATTATACGAGATATTAGTCGGTACTGCCAGAACTCGTCGTTCGATTTTCTCGAGGTCTGCCAAACATCGAGAACTACGTCGTCATCATCGTCGTCGGATGTCGCGAAAAATAATTTGAATACGGAATCGGATACTACGGCCTGTTGGGACGAATGCAATCAAGTACCTAAGGAGACTTCGTGGATTGTAAACGAAGTGTACGACGGAGGTGGATACAACAAGTTCGCTAATGTGGTCCAATCTAAACTAACACCTAAATTCTCTAGATCTCTCTGTAACAAGGCGGTTTGCGAATCCGAATTTGACGGTAAATTTCTATGCAACTCCAAGTACGAAGCCGAACCCAAAACTACATTCATATCCAAATGCGACGAAACGTTTAGAGTTAATCATGAATCTGAAGAGAAATTAAAAATTGAAATCGATCTTGTATCCAGATCCAACCTCGAATCCAATAGTAATCTTATGAGTGATACAAAAAAATCGTTTATCAATGCTGAAAGCACGCTCAATCTCCAATCTGGAGCAAGACTTAAATCCAAGATTAATCAGAAGCATTATCGTTCCTCCAACACTTCGTCGTTGTTGCGCAGCAATTCGGACGATACGTTGGACTTTGTGATGGTGTCGAAAACGGGTGAAGAGGAGTTCGAAGAGGATGCAAAGGTCGGGAAATGGCATTCCTCTCACAGTAGATTATCGATAAACTCGAGCGATGTAGGTGACTCTCTGATAGAGAATACAGGGATGAGCTTGAGCGACGGCAGTCAAACAGAATCAACAGCGAGACTGTTTACCGGCAGCACGGTGTCATTGGTATCAAATCCAAATGTGGGGAACACCCGTCGGTGCTCGGTGGAGCGACGAAGATTGCAAGAACGCGGCCATTCATTGGACGAGATGTCGAGCGAGACAAAAAAACGAGAGGGCTGTCTAGTCACCGCGAGCACTAACACCCTAAGTAACGCCTCATCCCAGGAATCGTTGCCCTCCGATCGCGGCGGCGGTTCCATTACCTATCATCAATATTATCACGTCTTTCGGGAAGGCGAACTGGATCAGCTGATCAACAAGTACGTCGAGAACCTGCATATCATTTCATCGTATTATGACCATGCCAGCTGGTGCGTCGTTGCGGAGAAAGTGCAGGTCTGGACTATATGACTTCGGATACGGATCATCGTGTGAAGGACCAGCGACTGCCGCGACTCGTTCTTGGCCGTTTTCGCCAAGTTGTACCGGGTGTCTCGATAGGAGATGTCAGCCAGAAGGGATCAACTAGGTTCAACTTTATGAAAATTCGCATCTGCTTAGTTTCACTTTTCAGTCGAAAATAGTTCCTGGTTTACTAATTCAAGAAAATGAATCGCAAATCTAAGAAACTAGGAATATATAATTCCTAAACCCTTTAATTTTTAATGTTTAACACGGTTCGCACTATATTTAGAATTTGGATTACGAAACGAAAGAACTCTTGTTGTTGGAAAGAACTCTTACTTTCGAGATAAAAATACTGATCCCTTTTTTGGGGGACACACAGTATACTGTGGTGGATGGATTAAATGCGGTTAAATACGAGAAATCTCGGCTCGAGTATGAGGCTTGCGACTCTAAATACGTAGATCTAAGAGTCCAAGGATCTCAAAATTCAGGGGTCCAAGAATCCAAGGATTTAAAGGCTCAAGGATTTCATAATAATCCAAGTTAACGAGTTTAATCACGAGTTGACTTCCTAACAATCCGTTCTCAAAAATTCTGCGACGACCTATATCGCTATTGAAATATCGCTTTATGCTCGTTGAACATTCCTTTCACATTTATCTCATCATAAAATTTCTCTGTCTGTTATGTCACTGAAGTGATGTGTGAAGCAAGAATATAACTTAAGACAAAAGAGATTAATGATATAAACAATAAAAATTAATGACATAAAGGATTCAACGCAAATGAATTGACATGTCATGAAATATCCAACAACAAAATGAGGAACATTAAAAAAAAACTTATAAATATTTCTTTCGATTGGTTTCTATTAATTATTGCAATTATTGGTTTTTCATGTTCACAACTCATTTGATTTTTGCTTCACTTCAGGGACGTTCAGGACTGTTCATTTCATTTATCGGACTTGCATATCTCGGAACAACGATTGCAGAAAGCATGATTCTTCGAGAATACACCAAAGTAAAAGAGAGTAGAAAATATTTGCTCGAAGGATATTGATTTTCTCGAAGAGTGATGCGATCGGAATGTACATGCGTTAAGCATAAAAGTTCAGAAAAATTCAGAAATGGCAATTGACTCCGACTATGGAGCGTATTTTCTAGCTTTTCGAGGAACCGACAATATCCGAACGCTTGAACGTAGATATACCTCAATAATACGAACGTTCCACTTCCAGAAATGTATACATGCATACTAAACATGCATACGTTTACACACGTGGTTGCGTACATACACGTAGTGTTAGCGTATTTCTTACTTGTAGAGAATTCTGGCGCAGCAGGAATTTGCATCGGCAAATTAAACTGTCATTATCGAAATCGGCAACAAAATTAGATCAGTGAGAGACAATGATAATATTTCGAATTTTGATAATGTAAACAGAAAATATTTATAAATAAGATTGCAATAATCGGACATAAACAAGTAAGGGATATTCTAATACACATATCTACATACATACACAACAAACACATACGGCATACGTACGTACATACGTGATACATATATATTAGGATATAAGGATTCAAAGATCCAATGATCTGAAAGATTGAATGCTTATATCCTTGGATTCTTCGCCCTAAGTTTTTCGATTCCCCAGACCGTTCAGCTTTTACGTTAAGAAATATTTTTATTATCAATCTTTTTCGTTCCGTGAGTGCTCACCTCTTTGAAAATTCTCAGTTTTCCCACGACCGTACTTAACAATCCTCAAATCGCTGAACATTTTAATCCGTGCAGTCTTTAGCTCCTTTTAAGTAATCCTTTTAATCCTGAAACACACGAAAGATATTCCTAGCGCGTTGTTATATTTGACAATTTTTAAATTCATACAGTAAGGCATTCGGCGATTGAAGATCCAAGGATCCAAGCATCCGTTTACGTTACCGTATACTCACACGTCGCATAGAGCAGGGCATAAATGTAATCTAAGCTTCGTTATTTTTATGATCTCAATTATCGTAGTCGAGAAGAAGTTTTTATCACGACCCTTTAACCGGTGAACCGGATTCTTTTGCGCCAAAAACAGATACCTGCAATGAAATTGCTGATAAATTTCACAATATATCATAGGATAAATTGTATTGTATCTCGAGAGTGATACTCGCAACGGATCGCTGAAGTTAACGCAATATTAAATTAAGGACTTTTTAAGGACAGAGCGCGCGCGCGCGGGTAGGAAAAATTTATCCTTTACCTATAGTTTTCGGCGCATAATATGCGGTAGAATACACTAAAGAAAATAAAAAAGAAAGAGAATACGTGATGAATAAGAGCGAGCTTGGGATTACTGGTTAAAGGGTGATTTGACCGAGAGCAACAAGCTGCTATTCCGTTTCCGGAGAACCGTTTGGTTAGCCAGACGGCATTTAACAGGTAGTCAACGATATTCTTTTCTAATTTATGGGATGATTTTCATTTGTACCCGTTTCGAAGAAGGAAATGCGTATAAGAAGCGTGCATGTGTGTATGTATGCGTGAGAAAAAGATAGAGCGCTCGAGAGAAAGGGTAGACCAAAGATGCAATCTCGAGAAAGAGAGGGAAACCGGTGTAAATATGTAAAATAAAGTGTTCCTGACGTAAACGCACAGAAAATCGTCAGAAGGCATAGTTCCAACAAGCGGCAATTTCGCACGAAAGTTCTCTATCGGCCGTCCCGTTCCTTTTATCCTTCCTCATCGTCGTACAGATCCTCGGAATACTGTGGGATAAATTAGAAGAAAAATCTTCTTTTTAATAAAGCTGTGTTCGGATATCTACTATCATGAAAATCTACAGTATATATAAAGCTTGCGGCACATAATGCATTTTTTCCTGCTAGATTGCTTACAATTTTTAGTAATTTACTTAAAATGCAAGCAATCTAGCGGGAAAAAATGCATCGTGTATCACAGACTCAAATAAAATATGTATCTATAAAATTTTACAGAATTGAAAAAGTTATTTTATAAGTTGCCTTTTAGTTTATTATTATTAACCTTATGTTTATTATTACAGAGAGAAATTGAGTACAAAAATAATACAAAAGTGGAACAAATGATAAAATTTAATATAAAATATTAAAATTTATTGTACTCAATTTCCGTAACAAAAAGTAACTTATAAATAACTTGTGAAATAACTTTCCCAACACTGGACTTCATTAGTACTAGTAATATTAATAATATCTGGATGCTTTCCAACAAGAGACACACATATGACACTATGCATTCATTATTTGCCAATATTAAACAAAGATGAGATGACCACTGTGTTGTATTGAATCGCTTATTGAAAGGCACTTTATAATGTCAGAACATGGCTTAAGTAAATAGCGATTATGTATTGGACTCGGATTCCCGAGATGCTGCGGAATAAATTAGAAGAAAAATCATTTACATCCATTTCTGCCAATGTAGCTTAACTTTCTGGTTTAATTTATTCTTTATTCTCTTCTACTTTCATAAAATTAATAAAATTAGAAAAAAAGTTAAACCAAGATTACAGTTAACATTGGTAAAAACGGATATTAATAATCAAAAGACAGCGATCATCATGTGTTTAACACCGAGTACATTAGCAAATTAAAAAAAATTAGGAACAAGATCCCGTATAATGGTGGATATTAAATGCTTACATTTAAAAGAGAAATGTCAATATTCCAGAACTAGAACTTTTTAACTCGATGTCTAGACGCTGGTAAGTGTTTCATAGCTATTTCTATCAAAATAAAATTTAATTTCATCTCAGTTTAATATTTACTTTCTATTTTTATCTAATTTCGAGAACTAGAATAAAATAATTAAGTTTTTTTATTCTGCTTCTCGAAATTAGAAAAAAGATAAAAAGCCAGTTAAGAGATGAAATTATTACTTTACATTAGTAGAAATGACAAATACATTAATCTTAGGACGATTTTCAAAACTCGGTTTAACGTAATCAGCGATTGTATATACATATATAATTCAACTGGCAGAATCGTTTATTATAAAAATTCCACTTGCATGCTTCATTGTTTCAAATCCAATCTTCCTTTCCGTTTACAAACAACAAAAGATTACCTATTGTATTTACATTAGCAATTTACAAGTATCGCTTGACCTACTAATCGCTGTAAGTTGAATTAGCCGGAATTTAGTCAAAGTTGTGATCCCTTACCAATTTATTTTAATCAATATATCCCTCGCATAACTACAGTCAATTAGGAGTAAATTTCTTAATGCTAATTGATAAAATTATCTTTGTGAAATAATTAAACGATCTCGAGATTCGCGCAGATTCCTTCTTGCTCATGAAGTAACGGTCGCGATTGGTCAGCACTGTCAACAGATTGGTGACTTTCGAGAGGTGCACGATAACGGATTTTCAATTTTCATAGCGCGCGCGGTACTTGTCGGCACTTCATTAGTAACGACCGGTAAAGCTGATTCTACATTAGTTGCAAGTTGATTGTAAGTTTGTTGCGGCAGCCAATATGAAGCGTTGATTTCAAAATGCAAGCTTCAGATTGGCTGTCGCAAAAAATTTGAGATCGGTTTGCAACTAATGTAGAACCGACTTTATGAGAGGAAAGCGCGGTATGTATGTACTTGTATGAGATAGAACAGGTAGGTAGATAGAATGTGGAAAGATCGATATTTGGATCGAAGTCATATAAGTGACATCGCGAAATCCTTCAAAATTTTCGACAATAAAGGCGACTTCACTTTTAATTGACTCTAATTAACGGCGATTAATTCAATTGACAAAATCCACTTAAGTGGAACGAATCTTCAATTATAATTCTTAATTCTCAATTTTTTTTACATACATATATTTCAAAGAAACAAAGATTCATATTATAATAGCTATCGTTAAGGTGAGGCATCTCTCGTCATCATCGATTAATCATCGATTAAATTTAATCGAATCATCGCTGAGATAATCCGAAAGGCTTCGACCTTTAATTGGAAATTTCAATTAATCTATACATCTGCGGTACTTTATCAACGTAAATAGGATATATTATCTTTTCGTCATGCGAAAAGAAAGATTAATTCAGGAATGATGAATCGCAATTTTTGATTTTTTGTGAATTTCTTACCAATGTAGATTAACTGTAAAATTTTGATTTAACTTATTTTTATTTTGTTTTCGTTCTAATTAAAGCCTATTCTACAATGTGCTTTTTGTTTCCTGTTTCTTGCTTTTTGTTATTTATTGTATCTTGTCTTTTTCGTTTTTACTTCTTATCTCGTTTTTCGTTTTCTGTTGCTCGAGATAAACGCCAACGAACTTCAAAAGAAACAGAAAACACATATCAAGAAATATAAATGTTAATAAAACGATCACAAAAAGGAAAAAAACAAAAGATAAAAAGAAACAGGAAATAAAGAGCACGTTGTAGACATGTAGAACAATCATAAGAGTCAACAATCAGAAAAAATCAAGAATAAGTTCAAAAAGAGATTAATTGTTAAAATCGGAGATTAATAAAAAAGTAAGTTAAATCGAGATTAAAGTTAATCTACATTAATAAAATTGAATATACAATATAATAGAAATTGCGATTCGTCGTTCCTGAATTAATTTTTTTTTCATAGATTAATCTATATTAGCAAAAATAGACAATAAAAATTTTGCCATGAGTAACTATCGATTGTATTAATTTGAATTTTATCGAAGTCTCGTCTATCATTCAATATATCAGTAATCAATATAACTAATTGAAAATCACTCTAAGTGAAGGAACTTCGGGGAAACAATCATTTTCCGAAAAACAAATGATTTTAATCGTCCTCAGGTATACATGTTTCACAATAACATTAAGACTACCGCGTATTTGACGGATAAAATTAATAGTCTCGTGGAAATATATCTCTAAATAAATATATACAGCGTTTGAATACAAGATAAAACTTAGAAAATGAAAAACAGATGGAGCGATAGCTGAGGAATTGTTTATCGAGACGTTGAAGGAGGGTTCAACCCGGCCAGACCGTCGTCGCGTTCAATCACATTTTCCAACGAACGAATGTGAAAGGAAGAGACGGGTTCGTTTTTCGAGGTATGAGGTATCCTTGATTCCTTGCGCAGTATCTGGCAGTATCATCGAGCAAGCGCTAACCGGGTCGACATCGCACATCGGACGGCGCCAACGGCGGCGCTCACTCGCTACGCTACGCTCGCCTGCCGCCTGCCGCGTAATCGGCGAGAGGAGGAGGCGTCGAGCTCGAGGTGGCGCGTGTCCGGGTAGCTCAGTCTATCGTTGACCGTTAACCCTTTCGGACACGGAGGGGTGCATATTGCGTGATACGTACGGCAGTGCTTCACGATACTCCTCTCGTCATTCGATCACATTCGATCGTGTTACTTCTCTTGCTCGCTCTCTGCTTTTCTTCTTAGCCAAAGAGGAAAGTCCATTGAGGGACATTAGTGCGTTATCCATCCATCTCCGGGAGTCTCGGAGGTTTATCTTCCGTTTCTCCATGATGAACGGAAACGCGAGGAACGAGCGGCCAACCGCGGACGACATCGATGCCGCCTCCCTCAGCGCCGATATTCTCAACCCTTTCGTGCATCGACTCGAGCTCGGCTCGACCTACGAGAAGCTCAAGGTCAGTATCTCTCGAAAAACGGCTTCTTTCCCCGGGATCGATGCTCGTGCAGTCGCGTTTTAGGGGATGCCGCCACCGCTGCCGACGCCACCACCGCCGGCGAGATTGGCGAGAAATGGGTGTGTTTCGATCGCGGTGCCGAGAAAGTGCGCGTGAGTGTTGAAATTGCTTCGCAGGTTACATGAAATTCGCAGGCTCGCGTTCATACGCGATTGACGGAGCTGATAAGAGAGGCGACGATAATGAACGTTTACAAAATAAGTCGGACATGATGCGAGTCGCATATGATGCAACTTATGAAATAATAATTCTTTGGAAAAAAAATCATTGAGAAATCTGTATGTTTTTCTCCAATGATTTAAATTTATCAATGTAGTCTAATTTTAATCTCTCTTCAACTGATTCCCATATTTTTCTCTAATTCTGAGAATCAGAAGAAGAGTAAAAAGAAGAAGAGTAAGTTGAATCGAGATTAAAACATTGATAGAAATCGACAATAATACCACACTTTAGGGGCTTTTCAATTAGCGAGACAAATCAAACACATTCACAAACATCATTCTATCTTGACATTCAGAGAGGAACAAAGGTAGAAAAATTTATATCGACTTATGTCATCGAATAGAAAGCATTCTTTATTGGCGTAGTATTAGTCCAGTTATCTCTAAAGCTGAACCAGTGTATTGCTAAATAAATTGTTGTTAGAGCGAGTTGTAATAAGTGTAACGGCACGCATAATCTAAATGTAAAAAATATAACAATACATAATAATTATTATTGTTATATAATATTACTTTACGATTTTAGACTGTGGCGAAATAAAAATGCAGGAGGAATATAACGCGAAAGAAAACATTCGCGGCTGAAGAGAGATATTGCGAGGCACACAGGCCGGTTTTTCTTCAAGTTGGCCGCGGCGCGACTTTCACGGCGCAGCGGGAATCGTGCCAATTTTGCGACTATTACATTTGACGTTCTGTCGTTTTTCCGAACAAAGGAATCTGCAGCCGTTTTCTGTCCATGTGGTCCATCAGGCGTATACGCCTCGCATGTATAATTTCCGCCCCACTTTCCTCGGCACATTGTCACGCCGTTGGGTTTCCAACGAAACGCTATATAAATGTTAGTCACGTGCGTTAACCATGAACAAGGTCATCACGAGCGATCGGCACGTTCACTCGATTTAAATGCTTCGATGCTTAATAATTTAAGAAACCATAATATACTGTGATATTTTTGTTTGATTGTCGAACGTGCGTATCATGATTTTTCAAAAGCTTCCTGTTTACTCTGGCAGTTGAAACGTGTCAATTTGTACTTTTACAAAACACACTTGTTTATATATATATATATATATATATATATATATATATACGTATATCGATCTGTTTACAGATGTCTTTAATTCAAAGGACCAAAGATTTAAACTCGCATTTATCAGCTGGATTATTTACGATTAAGAAACAGGAAACGATTTTCATACTCGTTAAGCTCGTTTCTTCATGCTCCAGTTTAGGCTTTGTTGCGAAAAACGAGGTCGCAGAAGTTTTTTATCTACATATTTTGCCAACCATTAAAATGCCAGCCTACGCTTTTCTAAACGTTAACACGATGCGAATAGCGGCTCCTTCGTGGACCGATGCTTTCTCTTGTTAAAACACCAGTGAAGTCTTGAACGCGTAGAAAGCCCCGCATTCTATATAGATGTGATGAAGTGATTGAAGAACGGCAACATCGTTCTAACGGGATTTAAATTGGAATATCATTTCAAGAAATTGAGAAAATCAATAAAATTGCATTCTTTTATTTATATCACCTTCGCTCTCTTTTTACTCTCTCTTTTTATTCTAAATATATTTCACATAAACAAGCAAATGTTTTGAATAATTACAGGTTACACATTAATATTGCCAATTCATATTCAGAAAAAGCAGCTCGAAAGTATTTTGCTCTGAATAGATTAGATTTTTAGATCTTCTAGGATTAAAAAAATAAAATTATTCTTCTAAATTTAAATAGTATCAGTAAACATTGCTTATTGAACTGTTTTTTCTGAACTCAGTTAGTGTTACACGTTAATGTACAACACGTCTACGAAATAGCGCAATAGCCCTTAGAATTTATAGTTATATCCGTGACAACTTTCTACACAAAAATTAGCACACGATGCGTAGAAGGCTTCTTCGTTACTATTTTTATTATATGGCGTTATATTATTAATCAGAATCGAATGTTCTTATTTTTTATTAAAAATTTTGCTTATTTTGATACCCATATGCCAATTCAGTTTTTTTCCTAATCCAATTTTCTCTTTGTTTATAACAGAATTATAACAATTGCAGACGGAATCAAAAATAATATTTATTTCACAACATATAAATTTGATAGACATTCTTATTAGAGGCCACTCGACTTACTTTTGTATATCACACATACGGCACATCAGTCTGGTTCTCTTCAACAAGATAAAGTAAGATGAGACGAAATATAGCTAAAGGCTGATGTGCGCCTAACGGAACAGCGAAACGTAACGAACGGTACTTAACTCGCATCCTATCTTTTTTTTTGCTCTTTATTCGTTCTTTCTCTTTCTCTTCATGGTATATCGAAGCCTTCTGATGGACACGTTGCAACCTTGACCGCGTGAGACAGACGATAAGTTAATCTGAAAGCCAATTACTTACTTACCTGTATGACCCATTTTCATGAACATGTGATAACTACAAGGACATTTAGTTGCTTTAACGAATTTTTAATGTGTAAAGTCTGAAATAAACTTCCTTAACATATATTTTAAGTATTAATACTTACATTTAAAATACATAAAATATATTTCATTATTAAAATTTAAAATACGTTTAGTATATTGAATATTTATCGACTTAACCAAAGCAAAGATCTCTGCATTTATGAATAAAATATCAAACTTATCAAGAATTATCAAATATCAAACTTGTTTATTTTACATTTGTAATAAATAATCAGAATATGTAATGTTATATTCAAAATCGGCTTGTAATATTTTCTCTTAAAGAATTATTTAAAAATTTTATTTGAAAAATAACTTTATATAATAAATAAATCGAATTTGTTCTAATTTAATAATCTTAATTGAAATATATTAAACTTCACTAGGATTCTCTTCACTAGAATACATTTTAAATAAATTTGATGTTTGTAATGAACATATAGATTTGCAGATACATGAAATTTTTGTAATATTTGAAACAAGTAGTTAATGTTTAAATACATTACATATTTTTTTGAGAAAATATAGGAATTTAATCGATTTTCAAAAAATTGACGTGATGTTTTGATGTTTCAGACGATATTCTTAACGATCGCCCTTTTGCCGGTCAGGCTAGCTGCAATCACGACTTTGATGATCCTAGCGTGGCTATTGGCCTGTCTTGGATTGCATGGATTGTCCGAGGAGGATCTTCGGCGAGCTCCTCTCAAAGGATGGAGGCGGTATGTTTGAAGAAAACTAAGCGGTGGGATAATTGCGGCGAGAAAGAACGATCCTCTTCCGTACTCTTTCATTCCTAATTCCGAATCCTATCTCTGTATTATGCTATTCATGTTAACACTAGCTATACCTCTCGGGATTGCTTTTTAATCTCTGTGCTAGTATCATCTCGCTTTATTAACAGATTAAATCGATCTCATAGATTTTCGAATGTATTAATCGCACTCAAAGATCCTCAAATCTAGAACTAGACTTTTCGTATTTCTAAAATTATTACGTCTAAAAAATATTTATATATTTTTTAATATTTAAATAATATTTATATTATACAAGTGAATTAAAGTAATTATATAAACAACAGTAATTATACTACAGTAAACCCGGTAGATCTGAATTAAACGCACGATTTAAAGGTCGTATCTCAAGGCAATGCAATCAGTGGGCTTCGATTATTCATGATAAAGAGAGAGAAAGGGAGCGAATACGTATTAAAAATGTATATCCTTCCGTGTGAGACAAGGATTTCGCTTTATGATGTCCTTGTCTGCAATTTATGTCTGTTTTATTATTAAAACTTCTTGTTGTTATTAAAACGTTTTTCCGTTTTCTTATAATTAACCAGAGACTTGAACACTTTACGGATAATTCATCTTGCATTTTCTGAATTTATAACTCAAGTATCGATTAATTTCAAGTTTCTTAAATTTATAATTGTCGAAGTGTTAGTATTATGTAATAAAAGTTATTCTCTATGTTGATTAAACACTTACGAACAAAATTAGTTAGTAGATAATGAAGTTGCTTGTATTTATATTTTTTCATAATTTAGTCATGCGTTACTGTCAAGGTCTTGCAACAAGAAAAGTCTATAAGATGACCTTGTACCATAATGAAAGCTTATAACGGAATCAGAGAGCGGAAAGAAATATTTCTAGAATACTTTTAACTGAAATTGTATACAGTAATATTGCAAGTTGTTAAATTATTCATGAGGCATGTACTTGTTTGAGTTTGTTATATGATTAGTTACAATTAGTGTCACTGTTGAATCAGCTTTCATTTTAATTAAAACATAAATCAATTATGTTGCATTATTAATTAATTTTATAGAGTAAACATATTTTTAGAGGCGTTTTCTGAGATTTAAGTACAATATGTATTTTCAAATATTTTCTGAATTTCTGGAATGTGTCTAGATTTAAGGATCTCTTCTTCCATGAGCTGAAAATGCAAATTGATTTATTGAAATCGAGTCTCTGATAGACTTTTAACTAAACCTAATTTTCAAGGAACACTTATATCCCGCTAATCATTTTAGACCCCTTTATGAGAATAGAAATAAAGAATCGCATCGGATGGTGCATGCGCGTTGCAAATTAAACCACTTAAAAACAGAGACATGCGCGTCGTGATCTGCTGGATGATGCGAGCCTTATTTCTCTGCGGTGGATTTCATCACCTGAAAGTCAAGGGGCAGAAGGCGGAGACTAAGGATGCACCGGTGCTGGCTCTCGCTCCGCATTCCAGCTTCTTCGATGCACTTCCGGTCGTGTATCTTGGCGGGCCGAGCATCGTTGCCAAGGGGGAAAGTAGTCGTCTCCCTTTTTTTGGAAGTAGGTCGCATTGTCATCTTGGTGAATTAAACTAATTGATAAGAGAGAAGTCATGCTATATATCTTTTTTTTTTAAATATGAAGGCTGAAATTTTAAATTTAAGTAAATTTAGTTTATCGCGTCACTGTGTGAAACTGCGAGAGAAAACTGCTGATTTTAAAGTCAAAGTGCAGTATGATTTCTAAATGAAAATTTTAAACTAGATTCGCAACTTCTCTTCTTGTGGAAACGAAAGATCTTCATTTATAACTACTATACTAATACTTATAAAACTGCAATATTCTAATTATTTATTTCATTGTACATAACATTTATATGTGCATATATGGTGGATGGGATTTATTTTTCAGCTACTAACTATGTATGGTTTTAACAATCGTTAACTGGCTTTTATACAGGATGTTTTATTTGCCATAACTTAAAAATTGCGATTAAACTTAAAAAAGCACTTAGACCAATTAAAAATTACTAAATTAATCGAATAACCATTATATCTGTTAACTCTGATGCATTACTGAGCATGATCCTATTTATAAATTTACATTGTGCATAATGTTATCTAAAAATTGTAGGTCAAGCTACATTACTTGTAGAAACTAACAATAAGATCGATACGCATATTATATTAGTGAGACAAAAAGGGAGAAATATTCGTGTATATATATATATATATAAAATTTAAAAGGAGAAGCGCACTAACAATTATCGAAACTTGGATTACTAATCGAACGCTTTCACCATCTTTTTGTCCTTTTTCTTTCCATCGCTCGATGGCGTAGAAAGTTCATTGGACATACTCGCTCGTGAACGTTTTCTTCTTTCGTAGCACGATTTGAGTTATACTCTTGGCTCTTGCGATATCCAATGTTCTTTTCATGATGATACTGTCAAGTCATGGATACGTATTCGGTATTACGATATTTAAATACTTGGAGATCCAGTATTCAGTATTGGAATGATTCCATGTACCTTGTCGGTTGAAACCCGCAGAAAATTAGTGCCATGGATATGTTTCGTGGGCCGACTCACTTACCAGGCCGGCGGAATGAAAATCGTAGTCCGAGGAAAACAGGCTTCCAGATCGGAAGCTCCGATTCTGGTCCTTGCGCCACACTCGACCTTTATCGACGGCGGCATCGTTTACGTCACCGGATTTCCTTCAATCATCGTCAGGCGAGAATCAGGATTGAATCCGTTTATAGGAAGTAGGTGATACATTTCTGTTTCTTTTAATTTTTTTCTTTATATCTTCTACGAATTTCTAATGTTAATATAATATTTTATTATTTTATTTGAAATATTCAAGAAATTACTTCTTATGACATTGAACTTGTACGTGATTAGACTTGAGCCAAGTAAAATGATGATGATCAAAGTCAAAGTATGCTGAAGTTGGTTATTGGAAGTCATCGAGATGTGTGCCATACGTGAGATCTTTTTAAATAAAAATTTAAGTCACAAACATCATTGGCATTGTTTACAAACACAGGACTATGTTCAGAAACTGTTTTATCCGGGTGTACTTAGATATCATTTGAGTCTTATTTAACATTCGGTGATCAACAAGAATAAAATGATATACTCCGTGATTTATTTAATACATCCCGGAAGTGGCCCTTAACAATTGTCTCAAAATCGCTCAAAAAGATAATTATGTTATATCTAATGTGATACGTATGGTATATATAGTATATTGTTATTGTTTTATTGTCAGATAGCAATATTAATTAAACATGCTCAATAATTGTTATTATTTTGTGGAGGTCGAATATTAACGATCTTTTATCAAAAAAATTAATTATTGATATCCTATTTGAAGTAATAGAATTATGTTTTATATTTTATATTGATTATTGAATCCCATTCACCATTACATGAGATCAAAATCACATTTGATGATTTTGAAGTAAATAATATACTTGTAAGAATTCAGTTACCTAATACTCTGATTATAGTTCAATGAAACAATGATCTCTTTGCATATGCAAACTTACAAAATAATCGGTCTGTCTTTTGCAAGAATGTTATAATGAGTTTCCGGTTTTAGATAATTATTGACTGACGGATTTTAAACAATTGATCATGACATGTCATTCACAAGACTTTTATAAACGTGTTACTTGCTTCAAAATAAGTTCTTATGCAACAAAGTCAAAGATTGACTCAATCAATCCAATCAAATAAAGTCAAGCGAGATCTAAGTTATAATTATCAGTTAGTATTGTAAAATCGATTATACTTTTCATTATTTTTTAATGTACATAGAACTTATCAACTATACACAGCCAGTCTACGTGTGGAGGGAAGATCCAAATTCCCGGCAGAATACTATCAAGGAGATCATTGAGAGAACTACTTCCAAGGAGGATTGGCCACAAGTAAGCAAAATATATTAAACTATTAGTAGAGTTTATAGCATATATACAGAACGTATAAGAAATGGGGGGGGGAGAGAGAGAGAGAGAGAGAGAGAGAAACTTTATAAATATATACATGAAATATTTATAAATAGAATTAACGCGCACGCCATTGCATATTCTAATTTGGCTTGATATTTACTGATATATATTATGATTTCTCTTGATTTAACATATATATTACAGTAATTGATTTCAAGACATTCTAAATATTTTCTTTAATTTAATACAGTTCAAAAAAATAAATTTTAAATACGATCTCATGTGACATTTTGTTATAGTTTAGATTCATCTCTCATTGATTGATACAATTAAGAGTCATTCGCGGAACTTGTAAAGTTCGAAGAACTAAATTCATAAACTAAGTTCATGGAAGTAGTAGTAGTCTTTATGATGTTTTCGATAATTCATGGATGCGAGATGCACGCAAGCTTGCAATCAAGACGCAAATCACTACCTTCGCGTCTGCTGGTGCAATTGACTATTCTCCACAGGTTATGATATTTCCTGAAGGGACTTGTACAAACCGGTCATGCTTGATTACGTTCAAATCGGGCGCCTTTTATCCCGGTGTACCGGTGCAGCCAGTGTGCATCAGATATCCTAACAAATTGGACACGGTAACGTGGACGTGGGAAGGCCCTGGCGCGTAAGAAAGTCATCTTCCTCTTTTTTTTTTAATTATTTATTTGTTGTAATATGCTTTATCCATTGCTTTACATTCGTTGCAGATTGAAATTACTATGGTTGACGTTAACACAGTTAAATAGCAGCTGCGAGATCGAATTTCTTCCTGTATATAATCCAAGCGAGGCAGAGAAACTAGATCCTAAACTGTATGCAAACAATGTACGACGTCTTATGGCAGAGTGAGTGTTTCATGCACAACGGATTAGGATGCCTAAAAATGTATAGATTTCTGGAAAGAATATACTTTCGATTTTAGGGCATTGAAAATTCCCGTTTCGGATTACACGTACGACGATTGCCGGATTATTAGAAAGGCTCATCAGCTACATCTTCCGCATGCGTCAAATATCGTAAAGAGCCATAAACTTCGGTATAAATTAGGGTAGGTGTCGCATCATAGTATAAACATTATAAATAATTAATTACAATTTACATAATTTTGATTCATTTATAGTTTAGTGGCATCAAAAACTGAAGAAGAACTCGTTCAGAAGAAGACGTATAATTTTGGTAACGTAAATTTACAAGAATTTGCGCAGATCCTTAGATTAGATGACAAGGATCCAACCACTCAACAACTGTTTCGCATTCACGATAAGGTTCTTATATAATATAAAATTTAAATAATGTATGTAATATAAGTATATGAATTAATTTAACAAAAAGAATTTATATGTATATCATTTTATAGTTCGGAAAAGGAAAGATCGATCTTGAAGAATATATCTTCACTGTATTAGCGACGGCAAATGCGTCTTCGGAACGAGACAAGGTCGAGATTGCATTTGACGTAAGTGCAAACTGTTTAAGAAGTCTACTATGTATATGTATATGTAAACTTTTATTTTTACACGATCGAATTGTGTTATAGATATGCGGCTCGAAAACAGCAACGTGTTTGACTCAATCGGAACTCAGGAAAGCCTTGAGGTTATCGATACGTATGCAGTCTGAGGAATCCGACAGGATCTTTCAACACGCCAGAAATAACGAGGATGCTTACACAGTGAGCTTTGGTAAACACTTTTGATCACGAGATTTATTTTCTCCCTACGATTAAGACTTCTGTTTCTTCATCGCAGTCATATCGAATATCAAAAGAAAGAATTATATATGCATAATT